GCATTCCAGTCGGCAAATTTAAATTTTCGCTAGTGCTGTGGCGCTTCAATCTTCGGCTATTTCTCAAGCTACTCAAATATTTTATGTTTTTGATACTAAATTAACATCTGAAGTATAATTTTTTATTGTTTTTATATTTTTCAATAAATTTATTTTGTTTGTACAAAATAAAAAAATAATTTTTAACGATGCAATAATCTTCGTTAGGCTTAACATCGACGAAAATTCAACGCGAAGCGACACGCAACGGAGAGAAATTTCAACATGGGATAAATTAATATATTTTTTCGTGCATGATTCGTTATCCGAAAAATAAGTTATCCGAACCACCCCAGTCCCCAATTGATTCGGATAAACGACACTCTACTGTATTTACATTTTGTATAAAATTTTATTAACTCCATAACATCCCACTTTATAACAGAGCCTTCCTAAGAAAAGCTCTGTTATAAAGTGGGATGAAGCAAATATTATTAAAAAGATACATTCTCTAACCATCGCTATGAATAGGGGAAAAAATAGATATATATAAGAGCAAGATCAAAGAGCAATGCCTAAACGCAAGAGATGCAAATGCATTACCTTCAGCTTGAAAATACATCATTGCAAAAAGATTAGGACATAAAAAACCCCTAAATTATGTGATCCCAAAAATCATATTTGGCTTTTGTGTTATATTTTATATTTTTCCTAATTTCATTTTTATTTGTATTTTGTTAACCTTATATATTTCATAAGTTTATTTTTATTTATTATTAACCTTATATTTTTCATAATTTATTTATTTAATTCGTTTAACTTTAAATTTGTATTTAGAAAACTTCAAAAGTTAAAATTTAAATGGAAAATTTGTGGAAAATTTTCTAAAAATGGACTTAAAAACCTGATGACAACCTATGAAAGTAGTTAATAAAAAAATTCTCTCAGCAAATGCAGAGGTGTTTTAGTAAGTTTGTAATTTACCTCTGCTTAGTACTTCTAGATGATATAGATGAAAAACTGAATTTTGTACCATATTTTTGCAGAATGACCAGCATGCTGCATAAACCAGGATTGATCAGCATGTCAGAAACCCCAGAGTTGCCAGCATGCCAGTTAAACTGAGAGTGAAAAGTAAAAAGTAAAGAGAACATTCTTCCGAATATAA